CTTTCTCTATTATGACAATCTCTCCTTATATTTTTCTCAATTTTCTCTAGTCCATCTGTCAGAGTCTTCCTTTAAAAATACTTCAATTTTCTCTTTTCACTCGAGCAGAGTCTCCCTTTATATTTTCATTAATTTCCTACCAAAATTTCGGCAACATCTTTCTTTAGAATTATCATTATTTTACGCTCAAAAATATCCTCATGATAGGTAAATTTATTTCTTTGAAAAGAAACTTGAAACTATATACCTTGTAGGACATGCTGCTTTAACTTCGGCAGGTCTTGGCTTAATTTCTAATCTTTTTCTCTCGAAAATCTGATCGTGTTCTGTGATGTTTTTAAGCGACATTTGACATCAGAAATACTATTCATATCACTTAAAAATTATTCTCAAAGTTTCAGAAGAAACGGAATTAAAATGAAAGAGAAAACTCACCTTAAGCCCGTGGGTTCTCCCTTGGTTGGTTGTGAGTTTTCGCTCTTATTTTCTTTTCTTTCTATATTTTTCTCTTTTCCTTCTTCCTTTCTCTCTCTTCCTCACAATTAGGGTAAAATTTTCTCAAGAAAAAACTCCCAAATTCCATCAATTGCCCTCACTTTTGTTTCTTCCCTTTTCCTCTTCTCTTTCTCTCTCTTCTTTCTCTCTCTAACCTTGCTTTCTCTCAACTCTAGAATGCTTTTCCCTTCTTCCCACACCCCTATTTATAGGGAGGGACGTCCATGCAAGTTGATAAGCATGGGAGAGGTGGTAAAACGTGATTGGCCACTTAAACCTCCTCAAGCTTCATCCTTATCCTTATCTCTTCATTTCCTTAGCCTTTAAGTAATTGTAGAATATTCTAATCTTATCCGCACTCTTCCCATGTCTTATCCATCTTGCAGGAGCTTGTATTCCAAATTTGGGCTCCATTCGATATGTTTGGGGCCGCCTTAGGCCCACCTAAACCCATAAGGCCCAAAATTGCACTCCATGCACATGCCTTCACTTCAAGCAGTCGTAACTCGCTCGATTCTTATGAGTTTTCGGCCCATTTTACCTTCACTTGTTCATCTTGGTTTCGACTATTTACCGATCTAATTTGGGCTCAAAACGACCACATTTGGCCCATCTAAGGTCCAAACCGCACTCAAAGTTAGGCCCATGCCCATAGCCTTACTTCAAAACTCTATAATTTGCTCAATTCTTAATCGTTTTGGGCGAA